TATATATATATATATAGACACACACAATTTCAAATGAAACAAAAAAATAATGTCTAATTTGGAACAAAAAATAAAGTGTCACATCATTAAAACCGAACAAAATTGAAAAAATAATGTTTGATTTGAAACAAAAAGGAAAACCTAGTGTCAAAATTGAAAAAAAAATAAAAAAAAATAAAAATAGAAAAGGAAAACTTAGTGTCAAAATTGAAAAAAAAAATGAAAATTTATTGTATTTTGTAACATTTTTTTTCTTTCAATTTTGACATGTTAGCATGTCACGTCATTGAAATTGACATGTCATCATGTCATATGAGGCAACTGATTTGATCGATCAAGTGTTCAAAATTGTAACAAATTAGATAATACGATGTCAAATTTGACACAAAAAAATATAGTGTCAAATTAAAATTTTGAGGTAAACTTAATGATTTTTTTGTTATTTTCCTTTTTTTCACAATGTAATATAAGGCACTCGCATATGATCAAGTTAATCGAGAAACGAAATGCGAACAACAACCAAATCACCATCGATGTAGGGTTTGTACGAGAAAATATGCTAAGTATATATTATGTGTCAGCATAATTAAATGTTGGGTTTTTGGACTTGTTTTTTTTTTAGTTAGGTTAATTCTAGATAAAAAATATATATATATTTATAGACTTTATTTACGTTTTTTTCTGTAATTCAAATTTTAGTCAGTAATAAAACCTTAACTAATTTTTGTAGATCGTTATTAGTGTTCTAAAGAAATACGATAACATCCAAATAACTATCCATGTAGGGTGTCTACAAGAAAATATGCCAAGTATTATGCATATCTAAGTTTTTCGTCTCACAAGTATAAACAAGACGGTTATCAACCATATCTTCACCAAGGATTCTTCACAATGATTGAAGAAAAGAAAATTTGAAAGATTATTTACATGTAAATATTTACACCATGTATACACGTTTGTCATGATTATAACTTTGATACTTAAATTAGTATTTGTAATGATTTATGATTGAATGTTCATGTTGTGCTTCATAATGAGTAGTCAGCTCCTCGATTTCAAGAATTTCAACTCTACGATTCATCTTTTTCCTTAATTTTATAGCAACATCTGATGGTTTAAACCTCCCGCAAATGCTAACCCTGTTTTGTTGTTTTTCTATTAAGTGCTTCTCTATTTCTTTGAAAAATAAAAGAAGAAAAATGTTAGTAACTGAAAGCTATATATATATATATATATATATATATATATATATATATATATATATATATATATATATATATA